CGCACACTAAGCAGTTAATATTGAATTTAAATTGTTTCCTTCCATTTCTGTTTATACTTTCGTTTTAAGCCTTAGATGGCGCCAGGAGTCCACAACGGTTCAAATAAAAATGATGTTAGTTTTTATTTTACCTACAGATGTCCCACCTAGTCCACAAGTCCAATAAAATATAAAAATTTAAAAAACGCTCGGCAGTTCAATGTCAATGTTATCTTCAGTTGTTAAAGTTCACGCCAAGGACAAACCCGCATGTACAATCAACTTTTTTTTATGAACTAAGATAAAGAAACATTCACTTCTATGTAAAATTTAAATTTTATTTATTCGTGTACATTTCATAAATGTGAATGCCTAATAGATGACTAAAAAGTAAAATAGGTATAATAATGAATCAATAAAAAGTATTTAACAAAAAGATGTGTAAGTTTACGTTTCCAAAACTTCCAAAGGGGGGCACAGAAAATGCCTAATATTTCGGGGCATTACCATACCGTGTTGTTTTGCTGCCATTTTCTTCATGTACTCAACAACTGCCTCTACTAATTCGCAAGGTACAACAGGACCTATTCCTGGTACCGCATCAACAAAGATTTCCTGATATGCCTTCAAAAATAATTGCAATGTTAGCGCATACATTTGTAGTAGTACAGTTAAAACATTAAAATCGTTTACTATTCAAAGTAATAGACAGCAAGGAACAATTTTCTGATATTCTTTTAAGAAAAACCACAGTATCTATGCAGTATGGTACATATACATCACATATTACATAGTGACAAAAAATGTGAAACAACTTATTAAAATTATGTTTACTGTTTAAACTAATAGCTCAAACTGGCAATTATTTCTAAAAAATTACAATATTCATGAAGAAAATTTCATTTCTAGGTTATTTAAATACCTGCAATTTATGTAGTATGATACATTTTGTACCATGTGGTTAGACATTATAAATATTTGAAATAGTAAATCTGTTTACTTTTACTGCGTAACCTAACGAATGATTATTTTAATCATTTGTTAACGTGCAACAAAATACGTTAATTTGATTTTTGAATTTAGGAAAAGACTAGGGTCGATAGCAGTATAAATATGGTCTCCATAACCGTCCAATAATTAATAAGATCTCTCCAATAATTAAACACGATTATTTTGGTGGTTAAACTTAACCATTTTTGGCACTTTTGCTATTTTTTTTAAATTTCCCATTACTATTGACGTATTTCATGTAGAGTGAATAAAGGTAGTTTTCTAAAAAAGTTTCTGAAATATGTTTCGTATCCATAACCCATAAGAAAAAAAAAATTGATACCTTCATTCGCTCGATATAAAATATGTTGATAATAGTGTGAAAATCCAAAAACAAAAATGTCATAAATGGTTATTTTTAACTACCAAAATAATTGTATAAAATAATTCGAAGTAGTTTGTATTCTGTCGCGGATCGCGATGGTAACGTGCCTATCACGTTGAGGTGAGCTACGCCGGGATTCGTTTCAACAAGTAGATATCCATATTTTTAAATGGACCTTGTTGGAGCATATGTAATCCTCAAATGTAGCATCGTACTACAGATGGCGCTCACTACGCCATTTGTAGTATTTTCCAAAATAATTGTGTTTATTTACTTTCAATAATCTTCATATTCTTGCCGAACCTAACCGTTTTATTCATATTATTCATACCTTTTCGACTTCTCCCGGAATTTCTTCTTCTTCAGTTTCTGTTATACTTTTACATGGTTCTTCTTCTTTCACTGACTCTTCTGCTTCCTCTGCAGCCTCCAGTCGTCTCTTCAATTTCTCTAATTCTTCCCATTCTCCCTCTCTACCTTCACCTTCTTCTTCGCCCATTTCTAGCTGTGTAATAAACAATTAATTACTTTCAATAATAATCGTCTTTTACTTGTTACCATTTCTAAAGCCCTAAGTCGTGCAGCTTCAGCTTCAGCAGCATCATAGTCCGTTTTTCTTATGGGAATTGATCCATCTCCAACCACGGTTGGAACCGATTCTTTACTACCGACTTCTTTCACTTGTGCTTCTGATTCTTCCTCGTTTCCTTCTTCTTCTTCTGGTTTTTGTTCTTCCACTGTAAACAGTGCAGCAAACTCTTCGTCTACAATTTGTTCTTCCTCCGCTTCGGCTTCCTAAATCACATAGAAACATCAAAAAAGAAAATCGGCAACGCTAAAATGTTAGATTACTTCTTCTTCCTCGCCCTCCTCTTCTCCAGTTACTTCAGCAGGCATTTCTTCCATGTCAGTTGGTCCAAAAAGCATCCCTTCTGCCCTAAAATTATCGAATATTTAAGAATAACTGATCAATTTGTCGACACATTTACTAACTTTTCTTGTTCTTGTCTTTGGGCTTTCTCTAAAGCTTCGATTGTTTCTTCTTCTTCCGGTTTGAACTCATCAGATACGATATCAGGACACGAGACTTCTTTTGTCAAATCTATCTTCTCGCTGACTTCTTCTTCGGCCACAGCCTCTTCTTCTTCTTCAATGATTGCTCTAAAATTACGTACAAATGTGAATATTTTCAAATTCATTGCTGGACCATCGAAAGTATAGCACGTAACGACCCAAAGCAAAAAATGACTTACATTTCTTCTTCAGTTATCGTAGATGGTGTTTTAGCAACCTTCAACTTTTTGGCTTTCTCCTCTCGCATCAAATCCAAAAGATCGTCAGTGAAATAAAGATTTTTTAGCATTTGACCTTTGCCTGCTTCTATTGCAGCCAAAAACGTGTAAATGGTCAAAAAGATTTCCAGAGGAATCATTGCTGATCCACCATCAGGCTCTTCGGTCAAAATTTCGCACACTAATATCATCGTTTTTGTCAAACTCTAAGGACAAAATCCGTATTTAGACAAATTTGTAACACTGTAGATGACTTAGATGTAAAGTTCAAGTAAATTATATCGTACTTCTGTTAAATATCCAGCACACATTCCTACAAAATGGAACCAGGAAATGTTATAAGGTTCTGTGAATCCTCCAAGGACCAAGACTTCTATGAGAGCGTCATGTTCCATACAGGCTCCTATCCAACGATCCCAAAGTACCGGGAAGGTGATGGTGATGGCTCCTTGCAGTTGATGAAGGAGCGCTTTGAGCCATCCTGGTGTTATTCCAATTCGACATTGAGGAAGGGGATACTCAAGACGGGGTTTTACAGGAGGAGGAATGTTTAATGAAAGACATCTCCAGTAGGCCACCGACCATCTAGGAAAGATTTAAAGTAATTAAAAAAAATGACACAATGTTTTAGTTTTAGTTTATGGAGATGGGACAGTTAAATAAAATAGGAACATTTAATTTTTTACCTTAATAAATCAGCAGGTTGAGTTCTTATAGCAGCTTTACAAAATTGTCTCAAAAGATAGGGAAACGAAGGGGGGATGCAGATTTGTTGAGAACAATACATTTGTTCCGGTAGCTCCGGCATTTTTGCAAACTTTTCTTACAATTCAAATAAAACATTGTATCATAATGGACATTAATGACTTAAAAAATAAAAACGTTTGTGTACTGACATTGTTACCTTGGATACCACAGTGAATCTATTATTTGGGACGATGAAAGATCAATAGAATAGAAAATAAGATCATGCGAATTTACTTCTTGCTTTGCTAAGTTTGTTTTTATGGACTTGTTGTAGGAATATTTCTAGTAACATTTTTTAGAAAAGAAAAATGTTTATTTAAGGAGTAACGCAACAAGTATATCATATAAGTAAATTAGAAAGAAATTCTTTGGTTTTATTCAATTAAGATAACGATAATTTTCATAACTCCTCTTTAATACCTTCTTGTAGAGACAATATTCATTTTTATGCGGGTTGGAATCAGCAGACGATAATTGTATTGATTAAGAGTTAAAAATTTACAGATACCATAATAATTTTTGACAAATCTTTTTGACGAAAAGGAGTATCTCCTAACAATTTCCTTTAATACTATATGAAATTCAGTAGTGGTTAATATTAAAAAATAATGTGATAATTCATTATTAATTTTTATCCTTTATAAATTACCTCAAGATAGTGAGGAAAAATTGTTGGTGTTGTCACGCCCTCGCCGGGGATAGAACCCGGGATCTTTGGCTTCGCGCATCACTAACAATTTCCTTTTTGCTTATATTTGATACAGCTTCTCATTGTACCAGTGTTACTGTCAAAATTGTTATATTACAAGCAAACGTCTTTATGTATCTGTACGACATGTAAAAAATTTTTCTGTACTTCGACATCTGCAGATAACAACCGTATACACTTTCTCCGTTCTCGAACCGTTTAAAAAGGATAAAACCTCTCACACATGTGGATGTAAATCCCAACGCAAGCATGCAACTTTCCCCACTTTTCCCCAACTAAAATTCGAAAGTCAATCTTCTCATCCAATTTCCGAAACCGCCGATTATTATTAGTTCTTTACTACAACAGAAACTTTTATGGTGGCGAATTTAGAACAAAAATCAGTGCAATTTTTCACTCGCTAAGCTTTTCGCAATAGTTTTAAATGTTTTTCGACCTTTTGAGACGTTTTAAAACTGTAACAAGTGGAAGAGTGGTTTAAAATAGCTGTAAATAAAGCGTTCGTTGTAGTTAAAAATCAGCCCATCGTAACTTGAAGCTGTTGCTTGAAGAAGAAAGAAAGTTGCCGTAAAGATAACTCAGATCATGACTAAGGTTGTAGAGGTTCGTATAATGTACATAGCTCACTTTTTACTTTCGATTTTTAATTAGTTACCGCGTTCCGATGGCTTGCCATAGATTTGAAATCTATTTTTTGTCATCAGTTACATAAAAAAATTCATACCAGATCTTTTATATTCAATAAACCATTGGCATATTACCTATTAGAAGATGAAGAAATTATTTTATTTACCTGATAGAGGTTAAAAATTTATTAAAAATTAGTTTTTGAATTAATTTCATTATCCTCTACATACTATCTTAATGAAGAAAAATTGTTGCTGTAGTCACACCCTCGCCGGGAATTGAACCCGGGAGCTTTG